TCTACCCTACCCCCAATCCCTACCCTACCCTAAATCCCTACCCCAACCCCTACCCCCAATCCCTACCCTACCCCCAATCCCTACCCTTCCCCAAATCCCTACCCTACCCCAAATCCCTATCCCAACCCCTACCCCCAATCCCTACCCTACGAGCGAGCTGAATATTTTGACATTTTTCTCAAGTTTACAGCACATGACACATGTCCACCCTGAAGTTGAAACTTACTGTTATTTTCCAAGAAAACAAAACAAGTACCCGCTGGTTTCGTTTAGTGTGAAAATGACTGAAAAGGACAAAGAGGGTCATTTTCACAAAACCGTCGTAAAACCTAAAATACATTTTGCATTTTACTTGTAAAATTCTATTCAAACCTGCAGTGTTGTTTATAGTCACTCCGACATGTCATTGCCCTTTACGTAACACGAGAGGCTCTTTCTCGGGAAACTGTGTTACATTATATCCCTTTTCTTTAAATTATCGCGTCCTTTACCATGAACCATATACCAAGGTAACAAACAGGTTATAAATAAAATCCACCCACGCGAAACTTCACGAACGAGGGAAACCCCCACAGAGGTACAGGAATATCTATAAATAGCCGAACATATAACGTTAAAGGTAATAAGTAGGGAAACCCCCACAGAGGTACAGATCTGTAGGGAACGCTACTGGGAATAGCTATAAATAGCCGAACCGAGTCACTCTGTCACTCTGTCTCTCTGTCACTCCTTTGTATCTGTAGTAAATGTATTCAAAGACATTTTGCATTTTAAAATTGATTAATCGAACAGAAATAACAGCAAAAAAAGGACAATAGTCTTGACCCCCCCCCCCCCCCCCCCCCCCCCCCCTCCCTACTTCCACGTATTACCTGTTCTTATAGCCTAACCCTACTTGACCCCATTTCACCGAACCAGCGGTGAAACTAACATCAGTGTTTGTACTGTCAAAAACTAGAAAAATAAATAAAACAAAAATGACACAAACACATGTTTACCTTACATCCTCGATATATATTTCCCATATTCAATATTGATTACAACCTCCGGGTCTTACTTCCTAAAGCGGCTTGTTATGACCGTGAGAAAAATGTAATCGGTACATCAACAATTTTTTAATACAGTGCGTATCCTAGACCGTGGAAAATGATTTAAATATACCTGACTGATGTCATCGTTGTTAAGTATGACCTATATATGTCTTCCCGTCCATATGCGAGTCCATTATTTACCTCCGTTGGGCTGACAGCAGGTAAGTGTGTAGCATTTATCTAAATTTTTACAACATCTCTCATCAAAAACCGTGAACCTGTATTTATATAGGAACTGAATCCCTCATTATGTTGTAATTCTTACATTACCGGCGGATTACAGCGGTGACCGAGTATACTCGGCTCGACTTGGCGTGGCGTCTAAGAGAAACACCCACCCAATTATCTTACTGTTTTCGGCGTTCTTGAGTGTAAGGATTATATTTAAATGAGGGTAGTTGTTGTATTTATTTTTAATCTTACATGAATATTAAAACATGTGAATAAATCAAAGAAACCCGAATTTCTCACTCGTATTAAATTCTAAGGGTTCGTAACTATATTTGAAATATATCTATAAAGGCGACGTGACGTGTAGGTGTTTATTGGGTGTTTAAGGAAAGAACAATTTTGTATTTCAGAATAATTCTAAATAAACAACATGACTCGCTTATGTACTTTGGTCTCGGTCGGATGTCATTTAGCAGGTCAGATTGGTGAAAACTGTTTGACTAAAGAACGGTTATGTACGTTAAACGTTAGACCCGTTTGTCTTTGTTTACACCGTGTATACCTCAGAAATAAGAGCTACACATTCTGGATTTTGAAAGTGAAACTATTTCTTGATTGGATATATATTTCTACGTAAGATGGGAGACATGGTTACTATGAGAACAACAAGTTAGTGATAAGTGGAAACGATAAAAGTACAATTATTGATAGAAATATACGTTTTTAACTTAAAGTTTACTTTCGTTACGTTAATTATATCCAAAACGAAAGTAGAATTCACTGCCTAAGACACGAGGTATTTCCCCTATTTAGAATCTTCACATCCGGGTATATGTTACCTTTGATATTTGATAGCACATACAGAGTTTATGATAGAAAAGTGACACTGTTTTGGTCGTTAGTGGGGAAGGGAAGGTCGTAGCGTACATGATCATATGGTAAAATATATGCATTTATAAGCGTCCCAATGCCTTGCAAAAAATATATTAGATTAATTAGGCTCCTAACATAACCTGCATTTTACAATCATCGTTTAAAACTGCATCAATAATGCATGATAGAAACATTCACATGGCTCGATCGCTTAAACATTGAAAGATGTCAAATTTTGTTCCTGAATTGTTATGTTTTCATTTTCATACCAGGGCCCGTATTCACGAAACCGTTCTCATGCTCAAGCATGGGTTCTGTGCTCAAACCAGTTTTTTCTGTCGCTCACTTAAATCATATGATTTGGTCAAAAAGTCAAGTGGTTTTTAGGTTGAAGTCTCTTTATAATTCTTTAAAATCATGAACAAAATGTCATTATTTATTAATTTATTACTCGAACAAGAAAATGGGCTTGGGCCCAGAACATGACTTTAATCGTGAGAATACTTTGATTAATATGACCCCAGAGCTAAAGGCTGCCATACTTAGCATTTATCCCTTGTAGGACAATAGCAATTATGTACGCCTCCTGATATGATAGTATGATAAGCAGTGATTCTTATTTGCGGAAATATATGTCTTTTAAAGATGAGATATCCGATCAATATCATCATGAACTGATCTACTGCACGTTGAATTTTCGGAATATTGAAACTAATTAGTTTGGCCTGTTCGACAGTGCTAGCTAACCACACATCCCCATCTCCATAAACAAACCGGTCGTCCCTTCAGGTACCGAGGATGCTAAGGACGTTTTAGCTTCAGTCTGAACTTAATCTACCCCTTTTCTTTAAGATGAAATATCTTATGAAAGGTCGATTCCCTACAACATTAAATATTAATTTTGTTTCCTATTTCAGACACTACTTTGGTGCAGGCTGAATTTTCTGCGGAACTGCCATGGCCGCCATGGCTGTTGGAGAGGTCGTCTCGACAACTGAACAGTACAGAGCGCTCCAGGACAAGTTAGAGGAACTAACAACATGTCCAATATGTAGGGAGCGTTACAAACAGCCTAAGATCCTCAGCTGCCATCACACTTTCTGCTGTCAGTGTCTACAAAGTTATTTTATGCAGACTCCCGGGGACAGCTCACCGTGTCCACTTTGTCGGTCTTTATTTTATCCGCCTGAAGGACACGTTTCAAATTTGCCAACAAGCACGTTCATGCAAGATGTCGTAATGATGATTGATCGAAAAAGTCCGATAACAAAGAAAGATTGTATGGTTTGTAAAAACAGCAACAACGATGCAGGATTCATGTGCGTAGAATGTGACCTGCAAATGTGTGATTCGTGTAGGAACATCCACGAGATGTTCCGAACGGATTCTCACAACCTTTTACGATTGGATGAAATACATGACGCCCCTATAATATCCGTCATTGCCGGAAAGAAAACCAGCCGGACGTGTGACGACCACAAAGGCCAGATTCTGGAACACCTCTGTTTGTCATGTAACGTACCGATGTGTTCCGAATGTAAAACTACCAGCCATTATCAACATCGGGCACAGAACATAAACCACGCGGCAGAGGAAACTCGAAATATAATCCGCATGATACAAAAGGGCTCTAATCCCGAAATTAATCGTTTGACAGAGAATATAACAGATATCAAATCTCTTTCGACGTCCATGCAAATTTCGACGGACGCGATGAAAGACGAGGTGAGAACCATGACCGACTCGCTAATCAAGGCATTACGTGAGAAAGAAAGAAAATTGCTCCACGATATAGAAACAGACGCCATGCTTAGACAAAAGGAGCTGAAAACAATAGAAGATGCGACGGAATTACGTCTAACAAGCGAGCTGACGTTCTTGGACTACGTCAAGTCACTAGAAACGTTTGGCAACGTGACGCAGCTGTCAGTTGCTAAGGAAACCATACGGAAAAGGATGGAGGACAATAAAGGGCAGACCATACCGGCACTTCCGGAGTCATGTCGGTGTAACCGGAAATTTAGACGCTCCGACATTTTCAGGAATATCCTACATTCGGAAGACCTCGGAAGTATAGAGACGTTACAGCGAACACCGCCCCCTATACCACCACGTATGAACTGCACACAAACCAGGTTCGAACCTCCCGTACCAACAAGTCCTGCTAACGGAAACCCCATAGTGCCCCCACCACGTGATCCAAGACCGGAAGTGACATCATCAGATGAGACTTCGGTAAAACAGGTGGCAGAGATCGACAATGAGTACACCAACCCTAAAGAGTTTCTCTGGCGGGAAACAGACAGTGACCGCAGCAACTCCCCTCCTACGTCACCAAAGAAATACAACCAAAATGACACGAAGAAATCCTCGCCTTCCAAGCGGCCACTTCCTCCACCTCCAAATCCGCATGCGTCTAGATCGTCCATGAGTTTTGCTGGATCTGAGTATTTGAAAGTTTGCCCGGAAACACCAAAACAGCGCCTCAGGCGGGCGATGAGCGACTCCCAGCTACTCGACGAAGCCAGTGTTGAGTCCGATCTGTCGTACCCCAACTTAACCAGCGGCCATGTGTCCTTCAATGCGAAAGTGAAGATTTCTGGATTGGCAATAACCAGGAAAGATGACGTAATAGTAGTGAGCAACAACAGTAAGAAATGCCTGGTGTTCAACCAGTTGGGTAATCTGAAGAATGAAATATCAGACGGATTGGTCAATCCCTGGGACGTCGCGGTCAGTGTAATCAACGATGACCTAAAGGACGTCGTCTACCTCACCGACACAGGTCAGTACTCATATACACAGATACTGGTCAATATTCACACGGACACTGGTCAATAGTCTGACACACGGACACTGGTCAGATGTCACATACATGGACACTGGTTAATCACATTAAATGATATAGGTCAAACATATTCTAAATGGTTTATCCAATCTTTTGATTTGTTTTTGGATAGCCCGGGACTCGTCTTCAACAAAATTTAGGTGTTTGAGATAGTTGCTAAATTGTTGGTACGGAAAAAAATACTTTTGGTAAAAATGCCTCCCCCACTACCATTGGCAGTGGCGGATCCTGAGGGGTTTTTTGGGCTTCAGGAAAAATCATGTATTTTCACCATTTTCCTCAATTTTTCCCCACATGGAAACCCCCCTAGGAAATTTGCAAACCCCCCCCAGATAGGTCTCTGGATCCGTCACTGATTGGGGGTGTCATTTTTACCGATAGTCTATCTAAACTCCTAAAACGTGTAAAAATACTCTGAACACCGTAGTTTAAGTCCAAAATAAGTTTGAACAAATTCGTTATAACCGTAAGTATTAACTTTTTTATTCCATTTGTTAAAAAGTTGTTTTTGTTTATCCGAAGGTGTGAAGTCAGGGGAGGGAAATGTTAAGGAATATAGACTGGACGGGACCTTCGTTCGGACACTGGTCAGCAAACTACGGAAACCCCACGGTATCACCACCTCCGCGGACGGTGACGTCATCTACGTCTGTGACGCCGAGGACAGCAGCATCATCGCCTTATCGCCACAGAGAGGGAAAAAACCTCGAAAAATCAAGCAGAACATGTTGGGCAAAAACTTGTTTATCTGCCCTTGGTACGTGTCAGTGACGACAGGTGGCGAAATTATCGTTTCAGACTTTCACGCGGGAAAACTGGTTGGTATCGACGAGAAATCATACAAACTATACAAAAAATCATACACATCATACAAACCAAAAAAGTCCAAAAATGCCATGGAGTTTCGTCCTGCTATGAGTTGTGTTGACTCCGAGTCCAACATCTTCGTCGTCGACCAGATCAGTAATTGTATTTACGTGTGGGCGACGAGTCAAGATCCCAAAAGGATAGCCATCCCTCCAAGCATTGACATCACTCGACCTGTGGCTCTAGCCTTCGACTCATCCGGGGCCTTGTGGATTGGTTCCCGCAAGGGGGCGCTCGTCAAAGTCCATTTTAACTATTGATGATTTTGACATGTGAATGTGATGCAATTCCATTCTGGTGGTTTTCCTGGAGTATTTATATTCAGTAACTTTGACGAGTTTTCTGAAGTGTGTTTTCTTGAGTAGTTTAAGATAGTGTTCCTGGTGACATTAATGAGTTTTTTTTCGAATATGTTAAAGGGGTTTCCTGGATATTTTTGAAAGGGGGTTCTAGAGTAAATTCAGATTTTGTTTTCATATGCTCAATCGATTGAACTTAAAATGGGTATGCTCGAACAGAAAATAATGAATTTTAATGGATTTGCTCCAGGACTTTATTTATTTAAATTTATTTCCAACAGTGCATTAATTCTTTTTATGAGTTTTACCCCGGTTTTATTTGATGTGTACAAACACGCACCTTTTTAATTTTGAGTTCGTTTGTTGGATTTTCACGAGTGATTTATTTGGTTTTCATTGGCAGTATGAATATGTTTGCACGGGTACAATAATGAAGTGTTTTAAGTACTTTCAATGTAGGTTTCAAAATTACTTTTAATAAATTATTTTTTCTCCAATTTTTTTATTGGTCTTATCAAAGGTGCTGTATCCTGAGTATTTTTAATTGGGGTTCGAGAGTATTTTGATGGATCCAACGATGTTTATAAATGTGTTTCATTTTCATGAGTACTTTTAACGTGTGTTTAGAGTATTTCCCATCAGCTATTTCTGTCTTTGCGAGGATATTTTCCAAGTTTCAAGTTTTATTTTTACACTCACGCCAAACGAGCGTAACAAGGAGTCAAATATTTCATAGTATACATTAATGGACAAAGAACACGCATACAATATGACACATGTTTTAATTCATACAATAATAACCCATTTCAATAATTCGTTTAGCTTACTTATTTTAGATTTTAAGTAGCTTCATTACCTTTTGTATAAATCTACTTACTTTTGTTAAAAGTACCGTGTTACATATTGAGAACATTCCTTTCATTTTGATATAAGTTGGGTTGATATAATGATAATTTGGTATATAAAGTTGTCTAAGAGCTACAAAAGATGCATTAGTACATTGGTATAAATAGTGGTATTCGATATCCTCTACGTAGAGTCTGACTAATATAATAAACCAGCTACACTTTCAGAAATACACAAAAGTGTAACATTGTTTTTGTAACGTTTTTACTTTTCAAAACCAAAACGCTTCCAAAATACCTTTTCATGTCCATATAAATCGGCGCGAGGTTTGTCTATATATTGTTTTGTGGAAATATATCAAAGAAGTGCTTACAGTTTTATCGACAGTATGGTTCAATATAGGTACCGAACCCAAATAAACAAATAGTTTTTATATAAATTTTACTTCAATCTATATGCATGTATATCAAACCAAAAACGTATTAGCGAAAGTATATATGATTCAATGTTTGTACTGAACCCAAACAAATAAGTATTTCTTAATACATTTTGCTTCAATACATATTTATAAACAAAAAAGTATAAATAACTGTATGATTCAATATAGGTACTGGACCCAAACGATCAAATAAGTCTTAAATAAATATTACTTCAGTCTGAATTTAAACAAAAATTAGTAGCGACAGAAGGTTTCATTATAGGTACCGGATCCAAATAAGTGAACGTTTGTTACATATCCGTAAATCAATAAACATGGAAAAGGACGTTTTTAAGTTGTAATAACTTGTGTCCAATTCCTTTTAATTATTCAAATAATATATGTTAATTAAACTAGACTAAGAGATATAAAAGCCAGATAAAATAATTTGTCGTTTTTTTAAGCAATCATCCCCGTTACTATAACAGAGGATATCATTGTCTCCGCTAGGAGTCGAACCCAGAACCTCAGGTTTACAAGTCCTACGCTCTACCTTATGAGCCTCCTCGATACTCCAGGGTTAGCGCTTACTTTCGCTCCCTGCACCCCTGTGATTATCGTGGATGTCTAATGAGCTAAAGATAAATTCTCCCTAGCCGAAGCGATTAGTATTTAACCAGTCTGACATACTCCCCATCCAGGAAAACAATCATCCCGAGTTTTCCAGGATTCGTCGAGTATTGTTGTCAATATTCCAACAGAGGTCAATATTTGTGATATCCCTCCGCTAGGGATTGAAGCCGGAATCTCTGGTTTACGAATCCCCCGCTCTACCGAATGAGCTAAAGAGAGAAGTTCTCCCTAGCCGAGTGGGTAGGAAGCGGCTAGTAGGCCTAATTTCACCAGGATGACATTCTCCCCCTCTGGGAAAATATTCGCCCCGGATTTTCCATGATTCATAGCGATTATCGTTGGGTATTTTTGTCAATATTCCCGGGTCCTGATGTTGGCGCTAATGTAACAGAGGTCATTATTTTTTTCAATACCTGCGCTAGGGATCGAACTCGGCATAATTTATACAAGTTTTGTATCAAACTGTATACATGATATTTACTTATAGAAAATCATTTTTATTATATATATATTTATATATTTGTTTTTGTGTGTATTATAAGTATATATGCATGTGTGCTATAGAGTGTGAGTCATATTGTTAACAATAGATTCTTATCAATATTTTATAATAATCAAAATATTTTTTTATCTTTGTAACAGAGAAATATTTGTTTATGTAATTACTGTAACACCTTTGTTTATTATTTACCTGTACATTATCACCTGTTTACTGTTTACCTGAACATTATCACCTGTTTACTATTTACCTGTATAGCATCACCTGTTTTCTATTTACCTGTATATTATTACCTGTAACAATATCATTAAATAATATTTACAATTTAACAAAAGCGAACAACAACAATAAAAACAATCATTATCGATCTAATGTAATTGCTAATTAGCTTTATAAATTTCTGATCGGGACTCAATAGGACCAGATAGCGAATATCAAAATTTTTGTTGGGTTGGATATTTTAAAGATTTTTCACAGGTGTCAAATTATTAAAATATTCACCATCACCTGAAAATAGCGGTTGTTCATCAAAGGTTTTACGGTAAAAATAAAAGTTGATATTTTTCTAACTTGACAATTTTTTTAATTTTTTTCACGCTTAACTTACCAATCAGTTTTTCATCAAGAAACAAAGAACATTTTCAGCATCGAAAAAATACATTTAAATATAAATATACTATAAATGTGGATTTTTTTGCGTGGGAAAATAGTAGCGTGGTGTCACTTTTAACTAATCCTTATATTGCGTCTTGTAGTATGTTTAATGCACAAAAATTGGAAATGAAATGAAATTTGAACTAAACTATCCGCGGTTTGGAAAGGTTTACGTTGACGAGAGTTCTGTATTTTATATTTCTATATATCTGTATAAACGCTAAATTTTCGCGTGTGCATATTTTGACGCTATACACGCCAAAAACGCTTATATATCCACACCGCGAAAATTTACACTTTTACAGTAAATAAATAATCCCGGTAACAATGTCATACTTACCAATTAAATTATACATTTACTTTTTGTTTGTTTTACAGTATCTACCGTTGATTGGAAATAACTATATTTTTTCAATAAATGATCTCAAGTTTATTTCCTTTTGTTGATTTAATTGTGGGATACGTCTTTAAGAATTATTTGAAATGTTCACGTGACGATGACGTCAACCTCAAGAATGTGCGAAAAAAATCATAATAACTGAGAAAAAGTTTGAAAGATCGAAATGGCGTGTGTTTTTGGAAGCAACACAGAGATCGTGAAATAGAGTAAATATAGAAAGTCTGAGAAAGAAGAACTATCCATCTCTCTAATGGTATCCAGCTATATTATTAAACCCCAGAAATGTGAATGTTGCAACGAGAACGATACAATAGTTAGGGTCGAATTTTCGACATTGAGATCTTTCCAGCCTTCTGGCATAAACGATCATCATATTATTCTCTACACATCAGAAATAGGTTCAACTACCTACTGTAAGACTTTTACAACGAGCCTCGTACCGCTCGTCTGTTATTCGTTTCAATAAGCCTGTTGTAATAGGTAAAAAAAGGGGAAAAAAAGTCTGTTGAATGGTTGGTATCAGAGTAGAAAAAAGGACAAATTGGCACGAAATAAAACGCTTTCACTTCTTTGCCCGTTCACACAGTCGAAGGGCGATAACTCCTTACCAATTTGGCACGACACACTGCATGGATGTGAAGAGAGACAATGAAGAAAATGTTCGCAGAAAACCTGCTGAATATCACGAAAACATTGTCAAATTTTGACTTAGCTGCGGGAACCAAAGTTTCTAGGTTCTAGGTAGTTTTTTTCATTTTTTTCTCACTTTATTACTTAGTTTGACAAATGAGAATCATTTAAAAGTTTAAATTACTGTATTATTATGTATTTACTTATTAACGTTATGTATTAGAATGCTATCTTACTTGTATAAACCCCTGCAGATTTTATTTTTATTATTTTTTTCTCCGGTGTTTTTATTGATTTCAGTTGTTTCTGTATTACAATACATGCATAAGTAAACGAACAATAATTGGTAGTAAAATATCAGAGTATGCAGCATCTAGTGTAGTCAGCGACCATGAGAGACAAAGAATGCTTTTTAAATGTGTTGTTTGGTGATGAGAGAAGTGTGTAAGTGTTTCATCAGAAGTTTTCATTATGTGCATATGTACCTGATTAAACGTATTGATGCTACTACTGTTGTGTGTGAGGAAGGAGGTAGATGGGGTGGGTGGGGGGNTAACGGTGTGTTGGCTGTGGTTAGTATGTGTGTTCAGTAATTATACATTTAGATCAGCAGGCGTAGCTTTATTTTTGAGAAATACATTTGTAAAACATGGTAGTAGAGTAGATAATTGTGGAAGATTTATTATACTTGATATTTCAATAAACCAAAATAGATAAACATTAGCATGTTTACATGGTCCAAATTAAGATTCACCCCTTTTATTTGAAAACTTTTTGTCAACCCTAAAAAATGTTAAAAATACTTCTATGATATTATGTGGTGATTGGAATTCTGTACAGAACAAAGAAATGGATACACACAATATTATTCACAAAAACAACCCCAAATACCAGGAAGCATTAAAAAATATAATTAATACATCTGGTCTTCTAGATCCATGGAGATGCTTTTATCCTGATTTGAACAATTTTACATGGAGGCAAAACAATCTTATTAGACAAAGCAGGCTTGATTACTTCTTAATTAAAGAGGACATATATTCAAAAACAAAAGAAACAAAAATTATACCTGGCTACAGAACTGATCACTCTTGTATAGTCTTAGATGTTAATTTTAGTAATGTAGAACGTGGCAGAGGATACTGGAAATATAATCCTTCCCTCTTAGAAGATCAAACTTACATACAACAAGTCAAAGATTGCATTACAGAAACTGTAGATGAATATTTTGTTGAATCAGACAATGATAACTTAGAAAATATTGTTTTGCGTGTAAATGACCAAATATTGTTTGAAGTTTTGAAAGTTAAAATTCGTTCACTCACAATATCTAATTCAATTACAAAAGCAAAAAAAAACAATAAAAAAAACTGGAGAAAGAATTAGAGTCAGAAATAGAAGAACTAGAAACACAATTCAACCTGAACCCAAGTGACAACTTAAGTAGATATTTAGTAATAAAAAACAGGAAATGAAACAATGAAAAAAAAAGTGGAAGGTCTTCTTCTACGGTCAAAAGTAAATTGGTATGACGATGGGGAAAAGGCAACTAAGTATTTTTGTGATTTGGAGAAAAGACATTTCGTTAATAAAAGTATAAATGAATTAATAACAGAAAAGGGGCATATACTTGATAGCCAAGGGGAGATAATTGAAGAAGAGGTAAATGTTTTTAAGAACCTATATAAATCCAAACAAAATGACTTTACACATTTTGAAAACTTTTTTCAAACACAAAATTAAACTGAACAATGCTGATAAAAATAGTTGTGAAGGAGACCTTAAACTTTATGAATTAGCAAAAGCTTTAAAATGTATGGATAATAGGGAGAGTCCTGGGTCTGACGGTTTCAGTGTGGAATTCTATAAAAAAAATAGAAAGACATAGGATTTTTTTTTGGTAGATCAATTAAGTATGCTCACAATACAGGTCACTTGTCTGATTTTCAAAAGCAAGGTATTATTACATGCAATCCAAAGGAAGATAAGGATAGGCGATGCTTAAAAAAATGGCGGCCAATTTTTCTATTAAATGTAGACTACAAAATAACAACAGCAGCAATAGCCAATATAATTAAATATGTTCTTCCAAAAACACTAACAGGCTTTATTAAGGGTAGATTTATAGGGGATAACACTAGTCTTTTCTATGGTATAGAAGATTATTAGAAGAAAAAAATCAGTCTGGACTCCTATTCATCTTGGATTTTGAAAGGCATTTGATTCGATTGAGTGGAGTTTTATAAACAAGGCTTTAAAAGTTTTCAACTTTGGAGAGTCACTATGTAAATGGTTTGAAGTTTTCTATAGAAATAGGGTATCTGGCTTGAAGATAAATTTACAAAAATCAAGCCTGTACTGGATAGGAAATAAAAAGTTATCTAATGATAGAAAATGTCCAGATATGAAATTAAACTGGTCATCTTCAAAATGTAAACTGCTTGGCATTGTGTTTTCATTAAATCTTGATGTTATGGAACGCATAAACTATGAGATTAAACTGCAACAGGTTAATAAACTTCAACGATACTGGAGCTGTCGATAACTTACTTTAATTGAGCGTATTACAGTTATAAAAACCCTTATGATACCAAAATGTATACATCTGTTTACCTCGCTGCCAAACCCTTCCAAACTATATGTAAACAGGTTGAATACAATTTTATTTGGTTTCATATGGAATTTTAAAACAAACAAGGTAAAGCGTGGTACTATCATTGCCTGTAAAGAAGATGGAGGTCTTAACATGACTCATATTTCGTCTTGTATTAAGTATCTGAAAGTAAAATGGATAAACAAAATATTTGGGGATTCAAAAAGAGTATGGATAGCATTGTTAAATGAAGTTTTACCTTTTGAAGTTGACTTACTGTATGATATGGATGGTATTATGAATTGAAAGAAGTCTATAGGCATATTAGAAATCCTTTTTGGAGAGATAACCTCAATGCTTTGTCTGACATCCAGAGTGAGCCGGATACCTTGTCAGAATACCTCGGTAAGAATTAAGTGAATTTCGTAGCATTTGAAAAGATGAAGTTCTGCAGACAGTGGAAAACACAAGCTGGTGTTGATACAGTTGGGGATCCTTTCCATAATGGGATAATCAGAGATTTCAATCATTTGGAAACTATTCCTTCTTTTAACTTTATTCAGTACTATTCCATAGTAAACAAAATTGAAATAACTGGTGGAAGCAAACATACAGAAACAAAATAGAAAATAATGAGGTTTTAATACCAACTAGAAACGGGGATATTGTCTCGCTCATGTTAAGTCACAAGGATTTAAAGTTATCTATTTACAGGAGCTTGTTACCCTGTATCAGCCGTCATGTTCACTGCGGTCGGAGTCAGAATCTTTGTTGTGTGTCCCAAAATCAGATGTTTTGGGAGGGTTTCGGCTACGTTATGGAATAGCTTACCATCTGCTATAAGAAAGTCAAATACCCTGGCCTAGTTCAAGAGGGACATCAAAACTCACCTCTTCACGTCTGCATTTTAGAATCTTTGCAAAGACGTCATGCAAATACCACCCTTTTATTTGTTCAATCATGTGCACATTGCTTGCTTAAATGTATAAAAGTGATTGTAAGTCTTTTTTCTTTTTCTTTTCACAATTATAACCATTACTATTATCCATATGTTGTAATGCGCTTTAGACTAATTTTACAAATTATATAGGGCGCTATATAAATGTTGAATATTATAATTATTATATTGAAAGTTTGTTGCAAATGTCATAATAATGCCCAAAAATAGCCAAGAAAAATGGAAATCCGTTTTTGATGGATGAGGATTTCAACTGGCAATATTAATGCATTTAACTGTACAATGGAAACAAAATTACAAACTTTCCAACACAAAATCAATTATAGGATTTTACCAGCTAATAAAGTGCTAGTAAAAATGAAATTAATAAAAAACAATTATGTACATTCTGTAACAGAGAAACAGAAACATTGGAACACATCTTTATTCAATGCTATTATGTACAGAGATTATTGGATGATTTTAATGTTTGGTATACTGAGCATTATGTTAGACAGCCGTATATTGATTTTAAAGATATAAATATCCTTTTTGGAAATTCAAAGATTGGACTACTATTAAACCATTTTCTG